TATATATAACGTATTCACCGTATTGGATATCGATACCATATCACTTTATTGGTCTTGTTTTGCATTCGAATGTAGTCTGCGTTAGCATTGTTGACAGTTGGCTGATGTAGTTGTTAGCTATATCAGACTATTACGAATATTCGTCATATCTTCTGTATGCGAATTGTTCAGTGCTTCTGTTTAAAGATTTCAAAACTGGTAGTCTGTTTAAATGATAAATCAAAATAGTGAAAGTAACACAGGACAGGACATATAAAAACTTGGACCGTGGTGTTGCCATTTTAACGTATGCTTTGTACTTGATTGCATAGATGAATCACATATATGAGTTCTCATACATTCAAATATCCTACTTCAAGATAGTTATTCCATTCGTTAACCGTTTCTAGCTTTCGCGAAATTCTTCACTTCTGTCCACTTTAAGTACCCAGTCGCCTTGTGTGAAAACCCAAGCATTTTGATTTAGTTGTCATTTATATAAACATCCCCTTTCTCTCCGTCTCTCCTTGTTCATAAAGCATACAAATCTACAGTGCAAATTTAAGCTGGTTTTCTGTTAATCTTTCTGACGGGTCGAGCACATACCCATTTGAATTACATTGTCATGCTTTAAGATATGCTCGGCATGTACGTCTTGTAGCTTGAATTTTGTTGATGCATCATATTGTATTTCAAAAGCCACTATTTTCTTCATAATTTCTTGGTCCTCAAATTAATAGAACGAACAAACTGAATAGCTATTACCTAGGTACATGAGACTATGCTTTACATTGCTAGTATCTTCAACCATGAGTAATATATGGTACTAATCCACACTTTAATTAATATTCCTTTTTTGTAGACGGATGCAGTTTATGACGCATCGTGCAACTCTTCTCATTCGCCTGCCCAGAATGGAAAGAATGTACCATGTACGGATATTTTTGCACAGCCATGCTGTACTGCGTCACCCGATAAGGTATCTGTCTTATCGCAAGATGAATTGGAAAATGTCAGACCTCAAAGTCCTCCACACATACCATCAGATATTACAGATGTCTATCTTCCTAATAAGTATACGCCCCCGAAACACAGGGGTTTGTCAACTATTTTGGAAAATTCTGTTGAGAAAAACCAACGCTGCCACAGGTTATGCAGAAATACTGAGCGTTCCCCCTTACGAAGGCAGATATTTACAGGACAAACACTCGAAGAAGCATGCATCCCTACAGCTCCCGGCGTCGCCCCTCTGGATCCAGATCTTGTCTTATCAACAACACGCAAGCGTATCGCGAAGCGTCGGAGGCTTGCCAAGAAGTTAGGATTTAAAGGTATCACCATATCCAAAAAAACAGAAAATAGGTTCAGCAAATTCCTTTTAGAATCAGCTTTAAATTCTTCTCACAGTAGTTCAACTTCTGATTGAGTGAAGAAAATTTTCGTAGAGCCTCTCTGTAAAAGTCTATTCCACTCCCTACTGCGTCTTTCAATAAAATATAACATTGTATAGGGTTTTTAAAATGTATATTTACCGCTTCATTCTTGAACGTCTATAGCATTTTACTGTTTGTGGAAAGATTGTATATTTATATACCATTAACTCTAACTATTTTTACTTTCTATTGTACAATAAACATTAAATTGATACGGCAAACTAAACCTTGTTTTAACCGAAATATTTGCTTCTCACTTTTTCCGTCTAGAGGTACGGCTAATTGATTAAGGTGTTTGGCTTTCAGCCACTGGTTTGTGAACTCGAACCAAACCAACCGTTGGATGTAACTAATTACCATGTGTAATTAAGTGCAAGTGGTTATTGAGCAATCTTCCTCTTCCAAAACTGAACATTGAAATCTACGCGAAAATATCCAAATAAATTAAGGATTGATTAGACAGTTAAAAATTGGGAAAATATCTGCAACTGTTCGCAAAAATGGTTAAGTGACTTACATAAAGTTACATAATGGCTTGTCATTGTTAGAGAATGTCATTTTAAAGGTGTGGTCTTGCTTATGTCACACGTCTGTTTTCTTTAATTATGTTAAGGGGAAACAACACTTGGATCACGATATTAGTTGATTTTGTGTTTTAAAAAAATTGATTATGAACTGAAGTAATTGCAGTATGAGGACCAAATACTTCAATATGACAGAAAAGTACTGACCCCATAATTGAAAACTACAGAATTTTTATGAATGTCCGATCAGCGTATGGTAAAGTTGTCCAGGTTAGATATCAATACCTTGAGCACTGAAGTTAGTGGTGGGCATGAGTTAATGTGCAGTTCAACTTAAATTTCTCGTTTCACTGAAGTAGCAGCTGTTGAGTGAGTAGTAGTGTGTTGCCAATCTTTTCCTAATGTGGTATTTTTTTCTTTTTTAGTAGTGGTTTTTGTGAATATATTTCATAACTAATTGTTCTCTTTGTTCCCTACTCGGCATTACTGTCTGAGTTCCATTCATGCCGTTTTGCTAGCGTAATTTCCTTCTATACGTCAAGTGGTAGATATCTTAATTTGTTTGTACAATTTTGGCTCTACAAGCGTTTTGATTGCAACGATATTCGTTCAGCTTTTGATAATGTTGGCAGTCTTATAAGTAGCTCTATTCACGGTTTCAGTCAAGTAACACCAGTTAATAATTTTCTGTGAATTAGGGTTTGTGGATATTTGATAAAGTCAACTAAGAAAGTGTCGAAATAATATCAACTTTTAATCTTAGAAGTTGGGTATTATTAATCAGTAAAATACAACAGGTATTTCGATAGAGAAAGAAAGACCAGATTTGCAGTATAAAATGATATGATTCTATTTCACAGGTTCTCATCAGCTGCAAACTACCTGAAATTACAATGGTTATAATTAATAACATTTCATACTTCATTGTTTGAAAGGTAATACAGAAAGCATTATAAGATAAACGCATCCGGAATATAAGAATTAAAATTTTTTGTAGTTTAAGTTACCATCAATTTATATACTATCAAACTATGGAAAAAAGAAAGAAAAAGGGGGGGGGGGTTAGAGAGGACAGAAAACAGAAAATTCTAATAAACAGTGTCAACATGGCAACTCAACAAGGTCAAAGGTCATCAATTTTGAAACGTGCTTAGTGAGTTGAACTCACTAGTGTCTATGAGTAATCACTGTAATGAAAGTGATATGGTTACCAAGGGAGTGAGAGATTGACTACACTCTCTTTCTGTGTGCATAAGTTTGGTCTGAGGCGTTTGATTGCAATTGCTTCAGCAAATCGTAGTAGATTCGCTGTCCTGTGTATGTTTAATACTTTGAAGGATTTGGAAATCTCAACAAAATGGCCTGTATCCACAAGGTGTCTGGTAATTGCACTTTGTAAATACTTGCTTCCTTTTAAGCATAAGTTACTTGGAATATGCTCTGAAAACCGGATAGAAGCCCTTCTTTCTGTCCTTCCGATGTACTTGCTGCCGCAGGTGCACGTAAATTTATAAATGCAGTTGGAGGTAACATCAGCAGGGTATTTATCCAGTTTCGATTGGCTTATAGAGCATGTAGTACTGTATAGTGTCACTAGATTGGCGGCAGGGAAGCATCTCTTGATTGCTCCATTCATCCTTTTTTCAATCTTTCACGATACTGTTTCTCCTTTGTATGGGAGGCAAATGAATGCTTTCTTCTTTTCAACTGTTGGATACTTCTCTTTCTCATCTCTTTCTTTGCTGTACTTTAGGATAAATCCTTTTGGATACCCGTTCTCCTTAAGGCATTTTTCAACGAAGCTTAATTCTTCTTCTATCTTGTTGGGCGAACATAACTTCCTAGCCCTGCAGCCAATCTAGTGACACTATACAGTACTACATGCTCTATAAGCCAATCGAAACTGGATAAATACCCTGCTGATGTTACCTCCAACTGCATTTATAAATTTACGTGCACCTGCGGCAGCAAGTACATCGGAAGGACAGAAAGAAGGGCTTCTATCCGGTTTTCAGAGCATATTCCAAGTAACTTATGCTTAAAAGGAAGCAAGTATTTACAAAGTGCAATTACCAGACACCTTGTGGATACAGGCCATTTTGTTGAGATTTCCAAATCCTTCAAAATATTAAACATACAAAGGACAGCGAATCTACTACGATTTGCTGAAGCAATTGCAATCAAACGCCTCAGACCAAACTTATGCACACAGAAAGAGAGTGTAGTCAATCTCTCACTCCCTTGGTAACCATATCACTTTCATTACAGTGATTACTCATAGACACTAGTGAGTTCAACTCACTAAGCACGTTTCAAAATTGATGACCTTTGACCTTGTTGAGTTGCCATGTTGACACTGTTTATTAGAATTTTCTGTTTTCTGTCCTCTCTAACCCCCCCCTTTTTCTTTCTTTTTTCCATAGTTTGATAGTATATAAATTGATGGTAACTTAAACTACAAAAAATTTTAATTCTTATATTCCGGATGCGTTTATCTTATAATGCTTTCTGTATTACCTTTCAAACAATGAAGTATGAAATGTTATTAATTATAACCATTGTAATTTCAGGTAGTTTGCAGCTGATGAGAACCTGTGAAATAGAATCATATCATTTTATACTGCAAATCTGGTCTTTCTTTCTCCATCGAAATTTACCAAGAGAACCAAATGTATGAAACAACAGGTATTTCTTAAAGTATTGCTTTTAATCCTTATTTCATTCAGACAATAAGGGTAGTGACTAACTCTCGTTTTTCTAGCGCATCCCTTGTAATGCGTATTGTAAGAAGACAGAAGACATTAGGTGACTCATTCCCAATCGTTTATATATTTAGCATTTACTTGTTAAAAAAAGAAGACATTTCAGGCATATCTGAGCAAGTTTTGATTTAATTCGTTGAGAAGTGACTACACAATCTGGAAAAAATAATCACGTAACAGCTGTAGTGACTCAATGCATTATTCATTATTGTAGTTGACTCACACTGCAACTAAATGTTCGTCTTCTCGGAGTATGCGATAGTCGGTATAGAGGTGGATGGTGGACCTCTGTCAATTTGAGATATATAGCGCCAGCCAATAACATCGGGGAGTATTTGATTGCCACTTATGGTTTAATTCAGATCACATCACTAAATTATTTCACCTCATTTTCTTGTTGACTAGGTGTTTTGTATTAATTTAAGTTACGGTCAGAATCAACTGCATGCTTTTACTGTTTCTCAATTTCATCAGGAAATAGTTTCTGTACTGAACACTAACTAAAACCTGTACACAGAAACAGGTAAGAACAAAGATTGTAGTATCAATTTCGTATTAACGCAATAGCAGTAATTCCGGAAATTTCAAAATACAATGAAATTAGTATAAATATATATATATATATATACCCAGAAAATTGTATTAACAAAAGTAAAATTAAGAATAACCAATAGACTCAGGGTAATGCATGGTATCTTTTTAATAGCCTATCACTAAATGTATTGTACGGTAACGACAGAAGACAAGAGAATTTAGTAACGGGATTATTTATTGGCAAATCGATACACAAATATAGGCAAGATACGTCTTCATGTATTAGAATCACGATTTGTATATATCTTCCGTAGTGTGCGTCTTTGTCTTCGTTCCATGTTGTTTCACAAGCATCATTCTTTAAATCCATCTCTCCGCTACCTGATATTCGTGGAGATGCCATACATATTCAAGTCTGCATCTATGCACTACTTAGAAATCCTGTCAGTAGCACACGCCACACTGCTTACCTATTTCCAATCCCCATACTGTATGAACTAGTAAATACTATTTATCTGGTTACCTTGCCACTCGAAATCAATTTGATTTTACTTACTTAGTCATATTTACGTCAAAATTTATTCGTCACATACCTGTCCATTGATACTACGACAACAACTCATATTTTTTAAGGACATGAATAGTATTTCTTAAGAAGAATAATCTTTCTTCAGACAAACTTATAAGGTTTATAGCCATGGTATTTAAATGTCCCATTGAGTGGAAGATGGCTATGTAGGATTCATTAATTTACGCATACATCAAATGTATGATTACATCAGCATTCCTTAATCACTATATTATTATCCTACCTTACCTTGCCAACAGCTATCGCCTCAAACATTTCAGTGCTTTTCTTCTGTATAAAATCTTGAAGGCGATTTAAATATCAGTCTAGTGATTCATATGTATGATATGTTTTGTTATGGATGAGGTTGGTGATCTGTCACCTGTCTTTATGGAAACTTGCGAATTTAAATGAAGTGCCTTCCGTCCTATTTGGGATTTGTCAGCCAGTTGTAGATTTGCATAAAAGGAGTTAAATAGCTGTATTAGATTTAAGTGATAAGATGAATAATTCAACGAATGAGTTGTAATCAGGATGCACATCACAACGAAGGAAAATATGGAATTATGTAAGATTTCTAAAGAAATACACGAGTTTCACTAAGCAGCCAGAATTCTCACCGTCAGCAACTCCGGTGCTTTGATCGGATAAAAGTATCATCGCACTCATTTTAATGGGTAATAATGAGAGTCAAATAACGAATCATCTTACAAATGAATAAGCATCTACAGGTGGAATCCAGAAGCAAAGAGTGTGATACTTGGGTTTACATCCAGATTCTTAAAGGCAAACAGGACCAGGGCTGTGACGGTAACTTTGAGGATACGAGACGCATCCGACTAGTCCGTCCGAAAATTCACTTTACTCATCGGTTTGTCACTCACTGAAGCTGTTGGCTGAGGCTTATGATCCCATCAGTTTTGTAGTCAGTTCCACAGTCTCGTGTTTAAATCGCTGATTTACCATTCTCAAAAGCACCTAAGCACTTACTGTTCGGGCATCCGATAACAGTATTTAACCAGTTACACGTACGACTGCAGTTTCGCGTGTTACCCTTTTATATACTGGTAAGTTCTCATATAGTCCTTTTCCAATGAGGCATGCATTCTTAGGCATATTCTTATGATTTTAGAGTTTCCACGTGATATCCACAGACCAATGTGATAGAATATATGTAAGGAAGCATAAAGTGAAGAATTATGCCATTCACTTTTTTAGATAACTCAAATAATTCGGGGAATTATGTCTCACTGTCTGTGGTTTTTAATAAATATTATGTTTATTCAAACTAGATAGGGGATGCTAAATTCTTCGAGAAATCATTAAGGAAGTGCAGGATATTTGGTAAGTGTATGGTTGAACTAGTTAAAGATCAGAGTTAGGGTCAAGCCGAGAAACTGTTGGGGTTAAGTTGTGGGAATATTAGGATTGTTTGAGGCTGGATTGGGGTACATTAAGGAGAGATGTGAGTCACAGTTAGGTAAGAAAGGCGTGGACTCTGGGTTAAAGTTAATCAGTGATATATTCTGGTTAGGATTGAATAAAAGTCTTAAATTAGCCCTCTGATGTCGACTGTTACTTTAAAGGTCTCTGGTGCGTTCGTCCCTTCAACTCTGCCATGATATAACAATATTTCTCTATCCAATATCGAAGATACTTGCAATCTGAATGTAGTGGATCACTTATGGAATGATGCAAAGCAATGAACCTTGAGTCATCGCGCCTAAGTCAACTCTTCTTGTTGCTATAGACGTTCGCTCTGCTCGCAGGGTTGTTTTCCCCATTTGTGGTTTAGTGTGGGCTGTTGGGCAGGTGAAGCTCCAGTTATCACAATTTTTCCGATGAGGTCAGTTTCGGTCCATTCGTTATATAATATATATATATATATAAGCAAACGCAAGTGTTTAATCAATTAAATTTACTTAATTAAGCACTTGCGTTCACTATGCTTATTCTTTATAAGTTGCTGCAATAATATAGGAGGATGAACGCCCATTATTGTCTGTCTTTTATCCCTTTTAGCGGATCTAAGCGCGGAAGGAAATCTGTCATGGGTCTTGACCTAACAAATATCATTGATTCCCCACCAGGAAGTGCCGACTCGAGTGGAACTCGCAGAAGATCCTTGAGATTACGCCGCAAATCTACATGTGCACTGTCCCATGACGAACAAACACTACCATCTAGAAGATATCGTCGAAAGTCTGTGATAGACCCGCAAACTCAGGTAAGTGCGTCTGCTACGTTGAATAAGTTACTTGTTTATTTATTTATTTATTTTCATTCCTTCACGTTCCCAGTGGAATATAGGGCTTCAAGCTAGAGACTTGAATTTTCTGTAGCAATGTTTATTTTTACAGCATGGGGTTGTTAGCAGAATGACAAGGGTTTGATACTAAACATATGTTCAACGTTAAATTACTTTCGATGTGCAGGAATGAAAATGAGTCAGCACATCAATAAAAGACGACAGCACGTGGGAATATTTAGGACTTCGCATATTGGATATTGGATGGGGTTTCTATCCTCTCGCTCAACCGATTTCTCTTAAGCAGCTTCATTTCTGGTTCACCGAGGTTTAGGAGTGCGTTGGCCGGCGGTTGAAACCGTGTGGACATCCGAGGTCGAGGGGAATTCTACCGCTGCACCGTGAACTCAGTATGTTCATATAATCACTGTTAAATAATCTTTGTTCCACATACTTTTTCAATATAGATTTTCCAAATTGAAACGTCATTAAGACAAGGTTTATATATAACGTATTCACCGTATTGGATATCGATACCATATCACTTTATTGGTCTTGTTTTGCATTCGAATGTAGTCTGCGTTAGCATTGTTGACAGTTGGCTGATGTAGTTGTTAGCTATATCAGACTATTACGAATATTCGTCACATCTTCTGTATGCGAATTGTTCAGTGCTTCTGTTTAAAGATTTCAAAACTGGTAGTCTGTTTAAATGATAAATCAAAATAGTGAAAGTAACACAGGACAGGACATATAAAAACTTGGACCGTGGTGTTGCCATTTTAACGCATGCTTTGTACTTGATTGCATAGATGAATCACATATATGAGTTCTCATACATTCAAATATCCTACTTCAAGATAGTTATTCCATTCGTTAACCGTTTCTAGCTTTCGCGAAATTCTTCACTTCTGTCCACTTTAAGTACCCAGTCGCCTTGTGTGAAAACCCAAGCATTTTGATTTAGTTGTCATTTATATAAACATCCCCTTTCTCTCCGTCTCTCCTTGTTCATAAAACATACAAATCTACAGTGCAAATTTAAGCTGGTTTTCCGTTAATCTTTCTGACGGGTCGAGCACATACCCATTTGAATTACATTGTCATGCTTTAAGATATGCTCGGCATGTACGTCTTGTAGCTTGAATTTTGTTGATGCATCATATTGTATTTCAAAAGCCACTATTTTCTTCATAATTTCTTGGTCCTCAAATTAATAGAACGAACAAACTGAATAGCTATTACCTAGGTACATGAGACTATGCTTTACATTGCTAGTATCTTCAACCATGAGTAATATATGGTACTAATCCACACTTTAATTAATATTCCTTTTTTGTAGACGGATGCAGTTTATGACGCATCGTGCAACTCTTCTCATTCGCCTGCCCAGAATGGAAAGAATGTACCATGTACGGATATTTTTGCACAGCCATGCTGTACTGCGTCACCCGATAAGGTATCTGTCTTATCGCAAGATGAATTGGAAAATGTCAGACCTCAAAGTCCTCCACACATACCATCAGATATTAAAGATGTCTATCTTCCTAATAAGTATACGCCCCCGAAACACAGGGGTTTGCCAACTATTTTGGAAAATTCTGTTGAGAAAAACCAACGCTGCCACAGGTTATGCAGAAACACTGAGCGTTCCCCCTTACGAAGGCAGATATTTACAGGACAAACACTCGAAGAAGCATGCATCCCTACAGCTCCCGGCGTCGCCCCTCTGGATCCAGATCTTGTCTTATCAACAACACGCAAGCGTATCGCGAAGCGTCGGAGGCTTGCCAAGAAGTTAGGATTTAAAGGTATCACCATATCCAAAAAAACAGAAAATAGGTTCAGCAAATTCCTTCTAGAATCAGCTTTAAATTCTTCTCACAGTAGTTCAACTTCTGATTGAGTGAAGAAAATTTTCGTAGAGCCTCTCTGTAAAAGTCTATTCCACTCCCTACTGCGTCTTTCAATAAAATATAACATTGTATAGGGTTTTTAAAATGTATATTTACCGCTTCATTCTTGAACGTCTATAGCATTTTACTGTTTGTGGAAAGATTGTATATTTATATACCATTAACTCTAACTATTTTTACTTTCTATTGTACAATAAACATTAAATTGATACGGCAAACTAAACCTTGTTTTAACCGAAATATTTGCTTCTCACTTTTTCCGTTTAGAGGTACGGCTAATTGATTAAGGTGCTTGGCTTTCAGCCACTGGTTTGTGAACTCGAACCAAACCAACCGTTGGATGTAACTAATTACCATGTGTAATTAAGTGCAAGTGGTTATTGAGCAATCTTCCTCTTCCAAAACTGAACATTGAAATCTACGCGAAAATATCCAAATAAATTAAGGATTGATTAGACAGTTAAAAATTGGGAAAATATCTGCAACTGTTCGCAAAAATGGTTAAGTGACTTACATAAAGTTACATAATGGCTTGTCATTGTTAGAGAATGTCATTTTAAAGGTGTGGTCTTGCTTATGTCACACGTCTGTTTTCTTTAATTATGTTAAGGGGAAACAACACTTGGATCACGATATTAGTTGATTTTGTGTTAAAAAAAATTGATTATGAACTGAAGTAATTGCAGTATGAGGACCAAATACTTCAATATGACAGAAAAGTACTGACCCCATAATTGAAAACTACAGAATTTTTATGAATGTCCGATCAGCGTATGGTAAAGTTGTCCAGGTTAGATATCAATACCTTGAGCACTGAAGTTAGTGGTGGGCATGAGTTAATGTGCAGTTCAACTTAAATTTCTCGTTTTACTGAAGTAGCAGCTGTTGAGTGAGTAGTAGTGTGTTGCCAATCTTTTCCTAATGTGGTATTTTTTTCTTTTTTAGTAGTGGTTTTTGTGAATATATTTCATAACTAATTGTTCTCTTTGTTCCCTACTCGGCATTACTGTCTGAGTTCCATTCATGCCGTTTTGCTAGCGTAATTTCCTTCTATACGTCAAGTGGTAGATATCTTAATTTGTTTGTACAATTTTGGCTCTACAAGCGTTTTGATTGCAACGATATTCGTTCAGCTTTTGATAATGTTGGCAGTCTTATAAGTAGCTCTGTTCACGGTTTCAGTCAAGTAACACCAGTTAATAATTTTCTGTGAATTAGGGTTTGTGGATATTTGATAAAGTCAACTAAGAAAGTGTCGAAATAATATCAACTTTTAATCTTAGAAGTTGGGTATTATTAATCAGTAAAATACAACAGGTATTTCTTAAAGTATTGCTTTTAATCCTTATTTCATTCAGACAATAAGGGTAGTGACTAACTCTCGTTTTTCTAGCGCATCCCTTGTAATGCGTATTGTAAGAAGACAGAAGACATTAGGTGACTCATTCCCAATCGTTTACATATTTAGTATTTACTTGTTAAAAAAAGAAGACATTTCAGGCATATCTGAGCAAGTTTTGATTTAATTCGTTGAGAAGTGACTACACAATCTGGAAAAAATAATCACGTAACAGCTGTAGTGACTCAATGCATTATTCATTATTGTAGTTGACTCACACTGCAACTAAATGTTCGTCTTCTCGGAGTATGCGATAGTCGGTATAGAGGTGGATGGTGGACCTCTGTCAATTTGAGATATATAGCGCCAGCCAATGACATCGGGGAGTATTTGATTGCCACTTATGGTTTAATTCAGATCACATCACTAAATTATTTCACCTCATTTTCTTGTTGACTAGGTGTTTTGTATTAATTTGCCACCTGTAAGCTTTCATGCATTTGGTCACACGTAATTTTATATTTGCTAAATAAGTCATTTTCTTTATTAATTTGTTTATCAGATATATCACAAAGTAAAACAGTATTATCTACTGCTTCACTGTGTGACATATCGAGTAAACAAACTTATATGGATTTCCTTACTACCATAGTGCCCAAGTTTTACACATATATTAAGACATTTTCTTGTATGTCAGTAGTAATAATAAAGAAAATAAGGAAGTAAATCGAGGTGAATTTACATGGAAACTGAAAACGCATACCACATCGTTGTGTAATGAATTTACATTGCAGCATACAATGAGTGGAATTCAAACTTGAGCGGAACTGAGTAATCAAGACCAGCTGATGACCGAACTATTTAGATACATTAGAATAAATGCATTAAATTTCTAGTTTAGTCATAGTCCTATATGTTTCTAGGATCATTTGAATCAAAATTGCAACTTACACGACTCGAGATGGAATTTTACCACTGTCCCAAAATTATTCAGGCCACACATAGTGTTCTGAATAGCACCATAACAAGAAATCAAAAATGCACGGTGCTATATACTACTGGCTGGTTGAAATAAATAGTTGGACTCCACACATCAACCAGTGAGGTTCGATGGTCAAACCGAAGTGATCTAAATGTGGGGTTTTCACTCATTTTAGGTCAACCTCATCAGTACTTTACATGATTTGGTACATTTGAGATTTGAGGCCCTACCCCCCCACCCCAGAATACCAAAGTTGAGTGTAGGTTAAATTAGTTAGGACTGTGTCAGCTCCATAATTCAGATCCACGACAGGACAGAAATCTACAACTGGCTGACAAATCCCAAATAGGACGGAAGGCACTTCATTTAAATTCGCAAGTTTCCATAAAGACAGGTGACAGATCACCAACCTCATCCATAACAAAACATATCATACATATGAATCACTAGACTGATATTTAAATCGCCTTCAAGATTTTATACAGAAGAAAAGCACTGAAATGTTTGAGGCGATAGCTGTTGGCAAGGTAAGGTAGGATAATAATATAGTGATTAAGGAATGCTGATGTAATCATACATTTGATGTATGCGTAAATTAATGAATCCTACATAGCCATCTTCCACTCAATGGGACATTTAAATACCATGGCTATAAACCTTATAAGTTTGTCTGAAGAAAGATTATTCTTCTTAAGAAATACTATTCATGTCCTTAAAAAATATGAGTTGTTGTCGTAGTATCAATGGACAGGTATGTGACGAATAAATTTTGACGTAAATATGACTAAGTAAGTAAAATCAAATTGATTTCGAGTGGCAAGGTAACCAGATAAATAGTATTTACTAGTTCATACAGTATGGGGATTGGAAATAGGTAAGCAGTGTGGCGTGTGCTACTGACAGGATTTCTAAGTAGTGCATAGATGCAGACTTGAATATGTATGGCATCTCCACGAATATCAGGTAGCGGAGAGATGGATTTAAAGAATGATGCTTGTGAAACAACATGGAACGAAGACAAAGACGCACACTACGGAAGATATATACAAATCGTGATTCTAATACATGAAGACGTATCTTGCCTATATTTGTGTATCGATTTGCCAATAAATAATCCCGTTACTAAATTCTCTTGTCTTCTGTCGTTACCGTACAATACATTTAGTGATAGGCTATTAAAAAGATACCATGCATTACCCTGAGTCTATTGGTTATTCTTAATTTTACTTTTGTTAATACAATTTTCTGGGTATATATATATATATATATATATACTAATTTCATTGTATTTTGAAATTTCCGGAATTACTGCTATTGCGTTAATACGAAATTGATACTACAATCTTTGTTCTTACCTGTTTCTGTGTACAGGTTTTAGTTAGTGTTCAGTACAGAAACTATTTCCTGATGAAATTGAAAAACAGTAAAAGCATGCAGTTGATTCTGACCGTAACTTAAATTAATACAAAACACCTAGTCAACAAGAAAATGAGGTGAAATAATTTAGTGATGTGATCTGAATTAAACCATAAGTGGCAATCAAATACTCCCCGATGTCATTGGCTGGCGCTATATATCTCAAATTGACAGAGGTCCACCATCCACCTCTATACCGACTATCGCATACTCCGAGAAGACGAACATTTAGTTGCAGTGTGAGTCAACTACAATAATGAATAATGCATTGAGTCACTACAGCTGTTACGTGATTATTTTTTCCAGATTGTGTAGTCACTTCTCAACGAATTAAATCAAAACTTGCTCAGATATGCCTGAAATGTCTTCTTTTTTTAACAAGTAAATGCTAAATATATAAACGATTGGGAATGAGTCACCTAATGTCTTCTGTCTTCTTACAATACGCATTACAAGGGGTGCACTAGAAAAACGAGAGTTAGTCACTACCCTTATTGTCTCAATGAAATAAGGATTAAAAGCAATACTTTAAGAAATACCTGTTGTATTTTACTGATTAATAATACCCAACTTCTAAGATTAAAAGTTGATATTATTTCGACACTTTCTTAGTTGACTTTATCAAATATCCACAAACCCTAATTCACAGAAAATTATTAACTGGTGTTACTTGACTGAAACCGTGAACAGAGCTACTTATAAGACTGCCAACATTATCAAAAGCTGAACGAATATCGTTGCAATCAAAACGCTTGTAGAGCCAAAATTGTACAAACAAATTAAGATATCTACCACTTGACGTATAGAAGGAAATTACGCTAGCAAAACGGCATGAATGGAACTCAGACAGTAATGCCGAGTAGGGAACAAAGAGAACAATTAGTTATGAAATATATTCACAAAAACCACTACTAAAAAAGAAAAAAATACCACATTAGGAAAAGATTGGCAACACACTACTACTCACTCAACAGCTGCTACTTCAGTAAAACGAGAAATTTAAGTTGAACTGCACATTAACTCATGCCCACCACTAACTTCAGTGCTCAAGGTATTGATATCTAACCTGGACAACTTTACCATACGCTGATCGGACATTCATAAAAATTCTGTAGTTTTCAATTATGGGGTCAGTACTTTTCTGTCATATTGAAGTATTTGGTCCTCATACTGCAATTACTTCAGTTCATAATCAATTTTTTTTAACACAAAATCAACTAATATCGTGATCCAAGTGTTGTTTCCCCTTAACATAATTAAAGAAAACAGACGTGTGACATAAGCAAGACCACACCTTTAAAATGACATTCTCTAACAATGACAAGCCATTATGTAACTTTATGTAAGTCACTTAACCATTTTTGCGAACAGTTGCAGATATTTTCCCAATTTTTAACTGTCTAATCAATCCTTAATTTATTTGGATATTTTCGCGTAGATTTCAATGTTCAGTTTTGGAAGAGGAAGATTGCTCAATAACCACTTGCACTTAATTACACATGGTAATTAGTTACATCCAACGGTTGGTTTGGTTCGAGTTCACAAACCAGTGGCTGAAAGCCAAGCACCTTAATCAATTAGCCGTACCTCTAAACGGAAAAAGTGAGAAGCAAATATTTCGGTTAAAACAAGGTTTAGTTTGCCGTATCAATTTAATGTTTATTGTACAATAGAAAGTAAAAATAGTTAGAGTTAATGGTATATAAATATACAATCTTTCCACAAACAGTAAAATGCTATAGACGTTCAAGAATGAAGCGGTAAATATACATTTTAAAAACCCTATACAATGTTATATTTTATTGAAAGACGCAGTAGGGAGTGGAATAGACTTTTACAGAGAGGCTCTACGAAAATTTTCTTCACTCAATCAGAAGTTGAACTACTGTGAGAAGAATTTAAAGCTGATTCTAGAAGGAATTTGCTGAACCTATTTTCTGTTTTTTTGGATATGGTAATACCTTTAAATCCTAACTTCTTGGCAAGCCTCCGACGCTTCGCGATACGCTTGCGTGTTGTTGATAAGACAAGATCTGGATCCAGAGGGGCGACGCCGGGAGCTGTAGGGATGCATGCTTCTTCGAGTGTTTGTCCTGTAAATATCTGCCTTCGTAAGGGGGAACGCTCAGTGTTTCTGCATAACCTGTGGCAGCGTTGGTTTTTCTCAACAGAATTTTCCAAAATAGTTGGCAAACCCCTGTGTTTCGGGGGCGTATACTTATTAGGAAGATAGACATCTTTAATATCTGATGGTATGTGTGGAGGACTTTGAGGTCTGACATTTTCCAATTCATCTTGCGATAAGACAGATACCTTATCGGGTGACGCAGTACAGCATGGCTGTGCAAAAATATCCGTACATGGTACATTCTTTCCATTCTGGGCAGGCGAATGAGAAGAGTTGCACGATGCGTCATAAACTGCATCCGTCTACAAAAAAGGAATATTAATTAAAGTGTGGATTAGTACCATATATTACTCATGGTTGAAGATACTAGCAATGTAAAGCATAGTCTCATGTACCTAGGTAATAGCTATTCAGTTTGTTCGTTCTATTAATTTGAGGACCAAGAAATTATGAAGAAAATAGTGGCTTTTGAAATACAATATGATGCATCAACAAAATTCAAGCTACAAGACGTACATGCCGAGCATATCTTAAAGCATGACAATGTAATTCAAATGGGTATGTGCTCGACCCGTCAGAAAGATTAACGGAAAACCAGCTTAAATTTGCACTGTAGATTTGTATGTTTTATGAACAAGGAGAGACGGAGAGAAAGGGGATGTTTATATAAATGACAACTAAATCAAAATGCTTGGGTTTTCACACAAGGCGACTGGGTACTTAAAGTGGACAGAAGTGAAGAATTTCGCGAAAGCTAGAAACGGTTAACGAATGGAATAACTATCTTGAAGTAGGATATTTGAATGTATGAGAACTCATATATGTGATTCATCTATGCAATCAAGTACAAAGCATGCGTTAAAATGGCAACACCACGGTCCAAGTTTTTATATGTCCTGTCCTGTGTTACTTTCACTATTTTGATTTATCATTTAAACAGACTACCAGTTTTGAAATCTTTAAACAGAAGCACTGAACAATTCGCATACAGAAGATATGACGAATATTCGTAATAGTCTGATATAGCTAACAACTACATCAGCCAACTGTCAACAATGCTAACGCAGACTACATTCGAATGCAAAACAAGACCAATAAAGTGATATGGTATCGATATCCAATACGGTGAATACGTTATATATAAACCTTGTCTTAATGACGTTTCAATTTGGAAAATCTATATTGAAAAAGTATGTGGAACAAAGATTATTTAACAGTGATTATATGAACATACTGAGTTCACGGTGCAGCGGTAGAATTCCCCTCGACCTCGGATGTCCACACGGTTTCAACCGCCGGCCAACGCACTCCTAAACCTCGGTGAACCAGAAATGAAGCTGCTTAAGAGAAATCGGTTGAGCGAGAGGATAGAAACCCCATCCAATATCCAATATGCGAAGTCCTAAATATTCCCACGTGCTGTCGTCTTTTATTGATGTGCTGACTCATTTTCATTCCTGCACATCGAAAGTAATTTAACGTTGAACATATGTTTAGTATCAAACCCTTGTCATTCTGCTAACAACCCCATGCTGTAAAAATAAACATTGCTACAGAAAATTCAAGTCTCTAGCTTGAAGCCCTATATTCCACTGGGAACGTGAAGGAATGAAAATAAATAAATAAATAAACAAGTAACTTATTCAACGTAGCAGACGCACTTACCTGAGTTTGCGGGTCTATCACAGACTTTCGACGATATCTTCTAGATGGTAGTGTTTGTTCGTCATGGGACAGTGCACATGTAGATTTGCGGCGTAATCTCAAGGATCTTCTGCGAGTTCCACTCGAGTCGGCACTTCCTGGTGGGGAATCAATGATATTTGTTAGGTCAAGACCCATGACAGATTTCCTTCCGCGCTTAGATCCGCTAAAAGGGATAAAAGACAGACAATAATGGGCGTTCATTCTCCTATATTATTGCAGCAACTTATAAAGAATAAGCATAGTGAACGCAAGTGCTTAATTAAGTAAATTTAATTGATTAAACACTTGCGTTTGCTTATATATATATATATTATATAACGAATGGACCGAAACTGACCTCATCGGAAAAATTGTGACAACTGGAGCTTCACCTGAAAAATAGGAAAGCAAACACACTGACCAACAGCCCACACTAAACCACAAATGGGGAAAACAACCCTGCGAGCAGAGCGAACGTCTATAGCAACAAGAAGAGTTGACTTAGGCGCGATGACTCAAGGTTCATTGCTTTGCATCATTCCATAAGTGATCCACTACATTCAGATTGCAAGTATCTTCGATATTGGATAGAGAAATATTGTTATATCATGGCAGAGTTGAAGGGACGAACGCACCAGAGACCTTTAAAGTAACAGTCGACATCAGAGGGCTAATTTAAGACTTTTATTCAATCCTAACCAGAATATATCACTGATTAACTTTAACCCAGAGTCCACGCCTTTCTTACCTAACTGTGACTCACATCTCTCCTTAATGTACCCCAATCCAGCCTCAAACAATCCTAATATTCCCACAACTTAACCCCAACAGTTTCTCGGCTTGACCCTAACTCTGATCTTTAACTAGTTCAACCATACACTCACCAAATATCCTGCACTTCCTTAATGATTTCTCGAAGAATTTAGCATCCCCTATCTAGTTTGAATAAACATAATATTTATTAAAAGCCACAGACAGTGAGACATAATTCCCCGAAGTATTTGAGTTATCTAAAAAAGTGAATGGCATAATTCTTCACTTTATGCTTCCTTACATATATTCTATCACATTGGTCTGTGGATATCACGTGGAAACTCTAAAATCATAAGAATATGCCTAAGAATGCATGCCTCATTGGAAAAGGACTATATGAGAACTTACCAGTATATAAAAGGGTAACACGCGCAACTGCAGTCGTACGTGTAACTGGTTAAATACTGTTATCGGATGCCCGAACAGTAAGTGCTTAGGTGCTTTTGAGAATGGTAAATCAGCGATTTAAACACGAGACTGTGGAACTGACTACAAAACTGATGGGATCACGATGTACAGCAATGGAGATGGTTGGCATCCCAGATGGTCTGGGAAGTTCAGGTGCTGTCTCAATTTTTAGACTGCCTCGACCCACTCACCTAATGTCAATTAACACTCCAAGTCTGTTAGCTGTTAGGTTCAGCTCCTGAGACCACTTGACTACTGCTCTCCAGATATGGTACGAGACCAAGGACAAGGTCAGCAGACACATTCGCTGCTGCGAGAGCCGGCCTCGTACCCAAAGGAGAGAACAAAACGTTGTCATAGAACATCCCCAACCCCTAGTCACAATACAGCGGTGCAGCACGGACGATGATAGCCAGTGTCATCCAAGTGC